TTAAAAAAAAATTATTATAACAATAATTCGTGTATTCCTAAATGACCTTTGTTTCAAAAGATAAACACCATGGGGATGCAGCCCATTCTTTGAATAGATCAGTCTCAAAATTTTGGTGATAAAAAGAATTGAATATTACTTAGACTTTTGTCCGATCCATAAAAAATAAATCAAAATATGTTACATGAACTTTTTGCCGATAATATATTATTCTTTTTTCCTTGTTCACTTGTGGAGTGGGTAGGGAGGCCTTTGTTGATGAACTGCGAGGCCTGCTAAAGGTTCGTGTTGTGGACTCTAATTGCGTCCCTGCCACAGTCAATCCGCTAACGGAATTCCTCTCTATTCTATGCTTGCCTTTCAGTGGGACACATTTCTTGTTTATACTTAATTTCCTCACACTTCCTTTTTATAAAACCTCTTTTTCATTAAAATTCTTCCTAATCACATACTTCCTTTCCTTATACATCTTACTTTCTTTATAATTCCTTCCCTTACAACACTTCCTTACCCACAATTCCTAGCTTATTGTTAGTGCACAGTATCCCCTTAGACTTAACGGACCTTCCTGCCAAATGAGATGACATCATTTTTCACTGTCCTCGTCCCAGCAAAAACGTTTCATTATTTTATTAATTCAATACTGTTTTGATATCCTCTGCAAATTTTCGTAGTTTTTTTTTCCCCACGATAATTAGTATGAGAAATGTATGTTGTATGAAAATAAATCGCTCTTGGTTTTTTTTTGGCTTCCTTGTATGGAACACGTCTCAAAGAAGCAAACAAAATGGCTCATATGATTGTTATGATGTCTATACATGGGCGGATAGATGATTTTTTTTGTGTGGAGGTGTGATTTAGCAATAATACAAACCCAATTACAATCTTTTAATCTGCCATTGCAAGGTAGCGTAGTAATATAAAAGTACGTAGTGCCGCAGAAACTGCTTGAAATAAAATATGTTTCGCCACAACGTCTCTGCAGAGTGAAGAGGACTTTGCCCAGAAAGCACACCCATGCAACGTGATTACGGCCCTTAATCCAAGCCTCTGAGCTTACGTCAATCGAACATTGTGCTTAGATCTTAAACAATAGACCTTACGATATCAAATCTCTGTTGATAAATAACAATGGTTTGACCTTGGCACAACGATAATGTTGCCTGCCACATGATTGATGAAGTCCCTATCTTTAGGAAAAAGGCGGTTGGCTTAGCTGGTTGGTATAGCGAGGGCAAATTGATAGATGGAGTATCTGGTGGAAGTAGCTGGCTGGCATAACTGGTTGGAGTAGCTGGTTGTAATTAATGATTAGAGTAGCTGATTCTAGCCATAATTAGCTGATAAGTATCAAAACTGTGCAAATTAGCTCTTATTTGAAATTTACACAGACCTGGAAATCAGATATAAATAATTGTCTAAATGTGTTTCCGCTTCTCTTTTTGGAACTTCATCATGTATTTGCATTTGTATTTTGATTCTTATCGGTGTATTTGTAGAAATGTTTTTTCAAGTTTCATTTCTTACAACCAAACGACAGGCCTGCATGTTAGATACTTTGGACGTGTCCCCCGTGTTAGACATTTCATTTAAAATTAAAATAAAATACAAAACACGCTAGTGGTTGGGCTGGTGTTAAAACGGGGTGGTCGGATTTTTTAAGCTCTTAGCCGCCAAATAAGACAACCTTTGGATTTGGATAACTTTAGGAGTCTTTAACGAAACGAAATAAAAGAACAAATAATAATGCAAACGGCAGTTTGTGCTCGGTCTTTAACTCAGCTTTCTTGAACTCCATCAGCGTGATATTGCACACTAGATATAGCCCGCCAAACATTGGCGACGGAAATGCTTGAACTTCCCATCTACAAGATATAGCCCGCCAAACATTGGCGATGGAATGCTTGAACTTCCCATCTACAAGATATAGCCCGCCAAACATTGGCGACGGAAATGCTTGAACTTCCCATCTACAAGATATAGCCCGCCAAACATTGGCGATGGAATGCTTGAACCTCCCATCTACTAAAGTCACTTGACAAAACATGAACTTAAATAACCCACATTTAAGAATCTTAATTTTCGAAACACCCCTCCCCCCAATAATACGTAACTGCGCACTTTTTATTTCACCGACCATGAACTATATTAATTTTGTGATGCCCCAATCTCTTTTAAATCGAATATTTATTACCCCATATTTAAATTGATAAGATTTTATTTTCCCAAAAGAAAGAAAACATAACGCACCAAATTCAGTTGCGGTATTAAAAAAAAAAAAATTCATTTAGTGTAGTTATCGGGAATTTGGTTTTCTGCGCTATCCGGAAATGGAAGCAGTCACACCACAAGCAAAATATACAAAATATACATAAGAGATTATATGATTGATTAGCCAGGTAGTGAGTGGCATATCATTTGCATATATGCATCTTTTTTTCAGATATTTCTTTTTTGAACGCATTTTTTTTTGTTTTACTATATAGTATAGTGCATTCAAAAATAAATGTGACGAAAAGTTTAACGTCCGAACTGAAAAAAGTGGGTTCAACTGAATTTCCGTTCGATCAAATTACTGTCGATCAATTTACCGTCGATTAAATTTCGTTCCAATCAAATTTTCTGTAACCTAATTCCATATGGTGATATTATGCGCCGAAAAGCTGAATATTTTTGTCCGGTTTTAACTCTCTCCTTAACTCTCCTTCATTTATTACCCTTCATACTCTGACTCCTTCATTTATCATGTTTCAAATTAAACCAGTGCTTCCTTTAAACATTGCCCCCAAATGTCAGAAAATGCAAGAGGACATAAAAGGGTTGGCGAGTTAATCGAGGTCGAGATAACCGGGTTATACTTTATCTTCGAAGGGGGTTCAAAAGATTTTTTTGTACTCCTGAGTCTAATGGGACCCGGGTCCGAATAGCGGCGATGCGTATACGGTTCCATTTTGACTAAATGATATTTGGATGTCTTTTGTTGTAGTTTATTTTAGTTTAACTGAAGAATTAAGTTTACAAACATAAAGTCCATTCAATTGTTTCTTTTGATACCAAATGTTATTTTACAAACCCAACAATAATATTTTAAACTTTTTTTAATCCTAATCTCTTACTTCCTGTAGCCGGGTCCAAAAAGCCACTTCGTATAAATGTAAGCGATATGACAAATTTTATTATAATTAGTATTATTTTTTTTTACTTTCTGACATTTAGAGTATCAGTGTTAGTGTACGACTGAAATGTGTCACTAGCGGGGGGGCCGAAAGGAGCCAATTAGCTCGTGGAGTAGAGATTATGTCGGAGTCGGTTTAATGCTCCATCTACAGTTGTTAAAAATGGGTGAACGTTGAAATAATTTTTGAGGATACTTTCTTGGGGTGAAAAATTTGGGGGCGATGTGGTTTGGGAAGGGGGGGGGCGTAAATCGATCAAAATAGGTTGACCTCAGTCAAGGGTTGTCGCTTGAGCCGACCGCTTAAGAACGTATTTTTATATCAGCTATTTCTTTTTAGAAAAATCACTTGCCCGCCGGCTCAGTTGTCCCTACGCATATCTTGTCTTTCGCTGTGACATCATTTTGGTCTGGGCTGGGTTGGGCATTTGCCCCCCCCCCCTCCTCCCCTGTATTTTTAAGTTTTATTTATAAACTGGCTATGTACTGTGGCTTCTCCATTAATAAACAACTTAGTAAGTCGACAAAGTTTTCGTTTTGCCTCACCTCTCTCCTCTGAAAAAAAATAAAATCAGAAACCACGGCCTTGACTTTCGTGGTGTTCTTTCACATCTTGAGGTCAACTCGTCTAGAATTGTATGAGTTGAAATGGCTTTTTCTTTTTTTTTTTTTTTTTTTTTTTTTTTTTTTTTTTTTTTTTTTT